AAAACTTAAAGACACAGCCAAGCCCAAACAGTCTACAGAACAATAAACCTTAATCGCTATTCTTTTTTCTTTTTTTTTGTATTTTTTTTTTTTTAGACTTTTTATTTTCCATTATTATCACATTTTACATCTTTTTATCAATTGGTTGAATATTCCCTTTTCCCTCCCTCCCCCGAAAGGCTTCCCGCAATGCACTTCCCTCATGTCCCACATAGATAAACTCAGGATAACATCAAGTACTTAATATTGTTCTAAACATAGTAAATTTTGTCTCACGTCCCAGTTCTTTTCTAAATATATCTTAAAGTCCTTCCATTCTTCAAAAAATTCTTGGTCCTCTTTATTGTTCAACTTTTTGGTTATTTTGTCCATCTCAGCCATGAACAGAACTTTTTGTATCCATTCTTCCAGATCTGGTATTTTTTCTTGCTTCCAATATTGAGCATATATCATTCTTGCCGTTGTTATCAAATATCAGAACAGTGTCTTTTTTGTTACATTCAGTTCTTCCATTTTTAAACCTAAGAGCAGAATTTCAAGTGTTTTCTTGAAAGAACATTTTAGAATCTTTTGCATTTCGCTGTGGACTTTTGTCCAAAAGTACCTAGCTTTATCACATGTCCACCACATGTGATAAAATGAGCCCTCATGTTTTTTACATTTCCAACATTTGCTAGACATATTCTGGTTCATATTTGCTATTTTCTTAGGTGTCATGTACCATCTATAGATCATTTTGTAACAATTTTCTTTTACATTAGTACATACAGATAGTTTCATAGAATTTCAGTCATCAGTATACAGGCTAAAGAATAGCGATGAAACTTAATCGCTATTCTTTAGCCTGTATACTGATGACTGAAGTGACTAAAACCAACTTCACATATGGTGATCAAGCTAATGCAATGTGTTCTATGAGCTTGAACAGAGATAAAATTAAAAACGTATCCAGGGGATATAGGCAGCCTTAGATGGAATTATGTCATTCTCTGACATGTATTGAAGCACAGAAAACCACACTGCAACAAACCGCTCATAAGCCTTTGTTGTATCTACTAATGTAGCCTGAGTGACCTGTGTCAGCTTCTCTAAAATAAATAGATCCCAAATTTTATCATGCCACGTTTGTATCAAGGGAGAGGAACTGACTTTCCATCCAGCCTCTATGGTTAGACGAGCTGCAGCCAGACGTTTAGATATAAGATCTTTCTGAGCTCTAGTAGCCATTACTTCCTCCATCATATCAAAAAGCACTAATTTTGGACAAGCAGGTAAGTTTAATGATGTAATATCACTTTAAAAGCCAGTTTGGTGTAGTAGTTAAGTGTGTTACTATTTGCAGCCAAAACCACATTAGCAGCCACATGGAAATCCACGAGTAGGCTAAATGTAAACCTCTGGTACATAAAGCTATGGAACCTTTATATAATGGAGAAAATCTCAGATACTCTGAAACAAAATCTATCTAGAGGTGGTCAGAATGACATTGTATGTATATGGTACCCCCTACTAGTACATCTATCTACCAAAGAAACAGCACCTGATGTAATAAACACTCTGCATCTATGGTAATTTTCAAACTGTATAATACCGACAAATTGTACGAAAAGTATGAAGCCATTGAGAGATGCCTATGCTCATGCTTACCTTGTATATCTTTGCTGTTTATAAAAATGAATAAAAATTATCTGTTTAAAAAATAATTTTAAAAAAACATTAAAAAAAGTATGTGGACTCTAGTCGATGAGAAACGGGTTGGATTCCCCACTCCTCCACTTGCACCTAGCTGGATGACCTTGGGCAAGCCGTAGTTCTGATAAGAGCCGTTCTTGAAAAAAGAGCAGTTTCTGTCAGAGCTCTCTCAGCCCCACCTACCTCACAGGGGTGTCTGTTGTGGGGAGGGGAAGGGGAAGGAGTTTGTAAGCCGCTCTGAGACACCTTTGGGTAGTGAAGGGCGGGGTATAAATCCAATCTCCTCCTCCTCCTCTCCTAAAAGGGGATTAGACAAATTCGTGGAGGATAGGTATTATCCGTGGCTACTGGCCAAGGTCACTAAAGGGAGCCTCTTGCATTCAGAGGCAGTAAACCTCTTAATCCCAGTGCCCGGGGGGCAACATCAGACAAAGGCCTCAGCCTCTATGCCCTGTTGTTGGCCCTCCATAGGAACTGGTTGGTCACTGTGTGAAACAGGATTCTGGTCTACATGGACCACTGGGCTGATCCAGCAGGGCTCTTCTGATGTTCTTATGAAGACCTCAGCCGCTCTGCCCTCTTGTTGGCCCTCCAGAGGAGCTGGCTGGCCACTGTGAGAAACAGGATGCTGGACTAGATGGGCCACTGGGCTGATCCAGCAGGGCTCTTCTGATGTTCTTATGAAGACCTCAGCCGCTCTGCCCTCTTGTTGGCCCTCCAGAGGAGCTGGCTGGCCACTGTGAGAAACAGGATGCTGGACTAGATGGGCCACTGGGCTGATCCAGCAGGGCTCTTCTGATATTCTTAAAAAAGACGGGCCAGATTTTTTCCAGAGAACTCATTAAATGTTAGTAGTTTTGAGTTTTAGACTAGGTTAGTAATTTGCCATTCTTTTGTGGTATAAACAGTCATTGTTCTTTGTAAAAAATATCTGAATGGAAGGTTACACCGCCATAAGCCATGTGTGTAGCTGGCCCCTATGCTTTGTTTGAGAGAGAATACCACTGCCTACCAGGTCATGCACGTAGCTCTCTTCCTTTCTGTTTCTAGGCAGAAAGAGATGAGCGGGTTATGCTCTTCTTCTGCTGTGGCCTTGCTCCAAGGAGAGATACTACAGAGAATAATTCATTGTGCTTTCCTTGTCTCCATAGTGGGGGTACAGTTACAGGCAGGGCTATTTTTGGGCAGGAACGCACAGGAACAGAGTTTCGGCTGGCTCCCAAGTTGGCCACGCCCAGCAGGAACTCATTAGCATAATAGGCCACACCTAGCAGCAGAAACTCATTAGGATTGGCTACATTAGGGGTGTGTGGCCTAACATGCAAAGGTTCCTGCTACCAAAAAAGCCTTGGGTTTTGACAACAAACGAGGTAAACAGAATAACAAGCAAAAGGTGGGTGTGGCTGGATGACCACACTTCTGGTAACATGGGGGTGCGGCCTAATGTGCTAATGAGCTGTGCTGTCAGGGTGTGGCCTAATATGCTAATGATTTTCTGCTGTTGGGTGTGGCCTGTTATGCTAATGGGTTCCTGCTGGGCTTTTTCTACAAAAAGGGCCCTGGTTACAGGGACAATAGTCACTGCACAGTCTCCCATCTGTGCCCGCCATATTTTTTTTGTGGCAGCTGACCTGATTCTGCATGCAGGTTCCTGACCAGACAGTGGAGACGGTAGGATTTATTCACCGGATCCTCCTTTCCCTTTTCCTCTTTCCCACCACTGCCAAGAAAGGGACAAGATCTGTATTTCTAGGCCATGGAATTTCTCCAGGAATTGCTCTTCCCAGTATCTCTCAGCCATGCACCATAAAGGTTGTCTTGCTAAATCTGTTTCCAGCCGCCGCTGCTTGGCGCTGTATATATAGCAGCAGGAGTCAAGTTTCAGTTAAGGGTAGGGTTGCCAAGTCGACTTAACCTGCAAAGCGGGGGGATTCCTGGCTCCGTCGGGAGTCTCCCCGCCAGTGTTCCCTCTAAGCTGAGTCAGTGTGAGCCAGCTCACAGTTTTTTAGCCTCCAGCTCGCACATCTGGAGGGCTCCAGAGCAAACTCATTTATGCCGTAGTCAAATCGCCCACTCGCAGCTTTAATGCCCAGTAGCTCACAAACAATGTTCCCTCTAAGCTGTGGAGTCTTGTGAGCAAAAATTCTACTTTGTGAGCTACTAGCATTAAAGTTGTGAGCAGGTAATTTGGCTACTGCATAAATCAGTTTGCTCTGAAGCCAGACTTCCTGAACTAAGACAAAAATGTGTGAGCTGGAGGTTAAAAAACTGTGAGCTAGCTCACACTAACTCAGCTTAGAGGGAACACTGCTCACAAACTAAAATTTTTGCTCACAAGACTCCACAGCTTAGAGGGAGCATTGCTCCTCGCGTGCTCGGAAGTGACGTCATCGTGTCACCCACGTTGGGGGCGGGGCACCGTGACTCGAGGGAAAACCATAGAGTTTTCCCTCGATTCACAGAGTGTCCCCCCCCACAACGTGGCCAGTGTGATGATGTCCCCCCCCCCAGGGGGTGGAGTTCCCCCTGGGGCCCGATCTGCCGGCGGCGGGTAACAGGCCTCCCGGGTGGGAATTTACCCGCCCCCAGCGGGGACTTGGCAAGCCTAGTTAAGGGCTTAATGGAAAACGGAGCTCCTAGTTCAGTTGCCTTTGCATTCAAGTTCTGTTGCATAATTGCCTGCTTATTTTGTTTTAGGTTGCCCCATGCACGTGAACTCAGCTAGCGGTCCCGATGAGAACCAGAATGTGTCTGGCCCTGTGCATCAAGAAAGAGCGTATGAATACGTTGAGTGTCCTGTGAAGTCACAGGTGCATGAGAAGCTTGATCCCAGAAACATGGTAACTTTCATTTTCTTTCCAGTACACTTTCTGTGAGATATAAAAGTGCCGGTGTAAACTTCTTACAAAGGCGGCAGCTGTCTTTATGCATGTGTTGCAGTTCTTTAATACACATTCATAAAGGCTTAATATTTTGACATGTACGTATGATGATAACACAGCAGAACACAGAAACAGCATGGATCGTTCATCCTTTAGTTTAGACAAACCCTAACTCTTTGGGCTGAAAAAGGGCAGCCACGCTGGCATTGCTCTTGGAAACTGTATCGGTCCATTTGAGGCTGCTTTCAAGAATAGGTAGGATTAGAGATGTAAAATTTCCGGATATTTTGAAGCTCGGAAAACCCCCCCGGGGTTTTCCCGTTTTTTTTTCCTGGAGAAAAAAATGGAAATTTTTGGAAATTTTTTAAAAAATGCTACATTAAGCACTTTTTTTTTCTTTTTCAGATTGAAAGTCATTCTGTAACTTTAGGAACATAAAATATGACTATGGACATTTTTACTTGGCATGAAATTATCACAGCTAGCATATTAAAAATATATTGTATCCAAACAATTGTTACAAACAGAATACCCACCCGCATGCAAAAACAAAACTGAAACCTTTTTCCTTGTCCTCAGTGCACAGAGATCAATCTGATACCATGCATATTTTTTAGAAATGATTTGGAAAATATTTGAAAATATTTGAACACCTTGTCTTAAAATATTTTATTCCACAATCAATTTTTTTTCTTTTCTTTTCTCAATTTTTCCAATTTTTCAGAAAAAAACAAAATGGGTTTCAGAGAAAAAATGGGGGGGGGGGGACGATGTTTTTTTCCTGAATGTCTCCGGTTTTTTCCCGGGCCTTCACATCTCTAGGTAGGATCTTTCAGTATGTGACTTTTTTTACATCTGCCGTTTGTGAAACTGGCCTACTGGTAGTATTTTGGAGCAGCTACTATTCTGAAATGCAAAACAGAGCATTTGAACACAGCTGGGGGCGCAGGGCGGCAGGATGTAAAAGGAAGAGTTTTTGGAAAGCTTATCAGGAAATGATAAAGCCTGAATGAAGCAAAATTCCTACAGAAGGAATTGTAGGAACATTCTGCTGGGACACGGGGCTAGATCCAAAGAAAAAACAAAGTTAAAATCTGCAGATCGTTCCCTGTTCTACCAAATATTCACTACTCTCATTTTTTCTTCTTCTTTTTTTTAGATGCCACCTCCTAATCAGCTGCCATCCCCTGGTCAACCATTTTCACTCTCTTCCACAAGAGAAGAATCTACTATTCCTAGAGCTTTTGCTCAACAAAACTGGGTTTATCCTTCAGAGCAAATGTTTTGGAATGCAATGCTTAGGAAAGGGTAAGTGAAATGAGAATAGAGGTGCGTGATAACTGCAGCCTGCCCCAGGACATCTGTCCCAGTATTGGGACTAGTCACAGTTATGCCACGATGATCAAAAGGGCACTGATTGACAAGTTGCCTAAGCGTGTGCTTAAGCAGAGTTGCACCTCCGTTTGCTCACAGTCAGGGCTTTTTTTTGTAGAGAAAGCCCAGCAGGAACTCATTAGCATAACAGGCCACACCCAACAGCAGAAACTCATTCGCATATTAGGCCACACCCCTGACAGTGCAGCTCATTAGCATATCCCCATGGCTTCCCTTGGCTTGCCCGGGCATCCTTGGAAAGGCTGGGGAAGGCACAGGGGGGCATTTAAATGCCTCCCCGATCTTTCCAGGGCCCCCCCCTGGCCCGCCCACCTCAGAGTCGCCGAGGGGGGGATGTGACGGAATTGAAACTCTGGGACCAGCAGAATGTTAAGATAGATCCCGGCTGAGTCACATGACCTAGAGGGGAGGGGGCCTTTTGGCTGGAGCATTCCGTGAGTGACAGAAAACTGACCTAACTGACGGTTGAGGGGGGGGGGACGGTTGGAAGAGGGAGTTGGAAGAGAGTGGATGCCTAAGACCTGGGTGGTCACAAACACACAGAAACCCTGCTTGATAGGGACTCAAATAGGGGTTGAGGAAAGACAAAAAGGGATCTGGAGTGAGGAGTCTGGAAGGCTGGTTGGAGGACCAGTTAGACTTAGGGGGGGACCAGACCAGTTAAAGCCAATAAGTTGACCACTGAAGGAGCGAACCACAGACAGCCTCAGACAAGGCAAAGGGATATAAAGATTTCAACAAAGTATCCGAACATCCCATGTAAATATATCCCATCCCCCTGTAGTGTTTCCTGTGCCACAATAAAACAACTGTGCCTTTTTGAAAGTTATAAGTATTTTTGCCTGACTTTCTGGGGAGCCATATACTGTGCAGTGGTCCTCAAGGAAGACAGCCTGAAATATACCAAACCCGAAGAGAATATTATACATTGGGTGTAGAGGACTGGGTCAAAAGCAATAAAATCAACTCTGACTAGGTCCTGACACGCAGACCCTCACATAACTGTCAGTAGAAAGGGGGTTTGTGTCTTAGGGGGTCGGCTCTCCAGCAATGTTCCCTCTAAGCTGTGGAGTCTTGTGAGCAAAAATTCTCCTTTGTGAGCTACTGGCATTAAAGTTGTGAGCGAGCGATCTGGCTGCCACATGAATTAGTTCGCTCTGGAGCCATCCTTCCTGAGCCAGGACAAAAACGTGTGAGCCGGAGGCTAAAAAACTCTGAGCTAGCTCACACTAACTCAGCTTAGAGGGAACACTGCTCTCCGGGCCTTCCCTCTGTAGCCACGCACGCAGTGGTTTTGGGTGTAGTGGGCGTGGCCAACTCTGAAGCCAGCCGGAACGCCGTCCCTGTGCGTTCCTGCCCCAAAATAGCCCTGCTCACAGTCATCCATTGTTGCCTTTGCGTCTCATCGCTATCACCTCTTCTCCCCATTTCCTTCCTGTCAAAAGGTAGATTGTAAGTTCTTTGGAGGTCAGTCCATTTTTTAATTTGTCTTAAATCCAATGGACAGTAGAAAAAGGCTAGATTGTCTCTGTTCAAGAGAGAACATTACCAGTGATTTGTAAGGTGATAAGAAGCTCTTGAGGTGATGTGCAAGTTCTGTCTGCGGGGCTGGATCTGCTAGCTCACGTAGGGTGCGGTCAGACGGCGGGCTGGAAGCATGTAATGTGCATGAACTGACATGCATCCTAGTTATTTATCCAATCGACAAAACTCCCCCCCAATATGAATTTGAAAATCAGCCTTATTTAAATCTTTGTACACTACCCTTCCTTTTGGATCCATTTATTTATTAGATTTTTACCCCGCCCTCCCGGCCTAGGCTGGCTCAGGGCGGGTCACAACAGAATAGAATCTCAACAATATAATCACATAAAACCAGGGGTCATTTCCTGCAGGAGCGCACAGGAGCGGAGCTCCGGCAGTAAAGAGCCCAGGGGGCGGGCACATGCAACAAGCCCCACCCCCTGCTCCCAGCAGCCCTCAGTCAGAGCAAGAAGAAGCCAGGTCAGTTGCAGACTTCCCGGCCAAAAACAGTCCAGTGGCACCTTTAAGACCAAGTATTATTCAGGTACAAGCTCTCCCTCCTCTGCGAGAACAGATCTGCACGTCCCCCATCCCCCCCAATAGCTAGCAATCCAAAACAGTCCAGTGGAGCCTGAGCGGTGGGTGTTGCCTTCTGACACACTTCCGGTGATGTCAGGGGGTGTGGCATATGCAAATAAGTTATGCTTATGAGTTATGCTAATGAGCTCCTGCACCTCTTTTTCTACAAAATGACCCCTGCATAAAACCATACTTTCATAAATACTGTATTAAAACTCAAACATAATAACATAATAAAGTGCTAGTGTGGCTTTGTGGACTGAGTGCCCATGAAATGGCCTTTGTAGACTTAATGGATCTTTGTTAGGGCCATTTCAGTAATTCCTAAAACATAGTTGCATTTGGTGCCTGGAACAGATAATCCTTCATGATAGTGTGCATATTATTTCTTTGTTCATTAGGAAAGTGGACAGTGCACATGATTTCATCCTGTATGTTCTTTGGACTCATTGCATTTAATTAGAGAAGGGGGAAAAGTATATAGAACCACCATTAGTACTTTCTAACTCCTTTAATATTGATTTCTTTAGATGGAAATGGAAAGATGACGACTTAACACCTGTAGATATGGGTAATATCATTAAGATTCATAATCAGAATAATGAGCAGGCTTGGAAGGAAATTCTGAAATGGGAAGCACTACATGCAAGGTGAGTAGATTTGCCGTCTTAAGCAGCAAATAATTTTGATAAGAGCTGAACATTTATCTTTAGAATTTGTGATGGAATCTGCCCATCATGGAAGGATATGTAGCTGGATTTTACTGTTCCTTTACCATTCTGGTTTTGCCTAGATTGCTGACCCGTGTGTTTCTGAAATTGCTTTTCAGGGAGTGCCCGTGTGGACCAACACTTGTTCGGTTTGGAGGTAAAGCTAAGGAATATTCACCAAGAGCCAGAATACGATCCTGGATGGGGTATGTTCTGAAGAAAAGCTGGCTTTGTTTATAATAGAAAGTCTTAAAAGTCACCTTCAAGGGAAGGTGAATAGAATGAGGCAGATGGGCACTGAACACTGTGTGCAGTTCCGGTCACCACACCTTAAAAAGGATATTATAGCTTTGGAAAAAGGGCAGAAAAGGGCAACTCGAATGATCAAAGGGTTGGAATTCTTTCCTTTTTTTTTGAGGAAAGGTTAAAGCGCTTAGGGCTCTTTAGCTTGGAGAAACGACGACTGAGGGGTGACATGATTGAGGTTTATAAGATTACAAGAGAAAAGACCCGCGAAACTCGCGGCCTCGCTTCTCTCTTCCCCTCCCCCCCTCTGTAGCGAGCCCCGGCGGCTACGCTATGAACCGAGCGGCTGCTTGCCGCCTCCTCCCAAGTGGCGGCGGCTTTTTCTCCTCCCCCCAGCTCTGAGCCAAGCGGCGGCGGCGGCAGCTTCCCCCTCCGAGCCGAGCGACGGCGGCTCCCCCCCCTGCTCCGAGCCGAGCGGTGGCGACGGCTTTTTATCACCCCCCCTCCAAGCTGAGCGGTGGCTTTTTCTCCCCCCCCTCCGAGCCGAGCGCCGAGCGGCTCGCGCT